ACACATCAGCTGACACACATCCTGCCTGAGGAATATTCATACGGAGAGACCAAATCCTCTCAGAGTGGAAATCACTCACGTTTCTTTCTCTCTTCATCACACTGAAACATTTACAGCTTCCTGCTTGTTCTGTTCGAACCTGCACTGTATCTGCTGCTCCACAGCGCACACACACACACACACACGGATTGTGTTCTTGTCACCAGAAACACTGTTTACACTGCTAACCTCTATGTGTGTGTGTGTGTGTGTGTGTGTGTGTGTGTGTGTGTGTGCTGTGGTTCGTACTGCTGGGAACTTTACGAGTGTGTGTGAACCGCTCGGTTTGGCCTGAGGCTGCTGGTAGGGTATGGAAAATACATTAAACATAGTCTCTCTCTCACTCTCTCTCTCTCTCTCTCTCTCTCTCTCTCTCTCTCTCTTCCTACAATCTCTGCTTTTTTCATTGTAATGAGTTATTGGCATGAAAGTGAAAACATCAACAGCCAACAATCTCTCCACATTCTTTCTCTTTCCTACTTTTTCTGCCTCCCTCTCTTTTTAAAATCATAATACACTATATGGCCAAAAGTATGTGGACGCCCCTGTCCAACAGATTGTGTTGTGTGTCGTTCCTGTTTCATGTGGGAAAACTTGACCCTGACCTCAGTGTGAAACACTCCCTACTTGTCAAATACTGTTGGATTGGACATTTTTTGGACACTATACACTATACACTATACCGCCATTAACAAGATTCTTTCTGTCATTTAAGATGGCAGTCGGTGTTTTCACTGTTGAAGCTAGAATAAAATGTTTTTTGTGTACGAAAATAGAGTCGCTGTTCTTTTAATGTTTTCACTCTTTCCATATTTATAGAACATAATCTTTGAGGAGATTAGTGAATATGATCTAAAATGCTGGCGCAGGCTGGCAACTTCATACTAATACTCACACAGCGCCGCAGTACGCACGCTAAGCTAAAGAACCAATAAGAGGACAGAATATTTTCACATCGAACTCGGACATTATTTCAACTTGTTTGACAAAACGCATGCAGATATATCAGTGATCACGGGTTGTTAGTAGGCTACGCACGGGGATACAATGCAACCAAATCCTGCACAACGGTCTCATATGTTCATAAATAAAACTTCAGTTAAAAGAAAGTGTTGACTTTTGGTTTCACATGGGACGCCAGCAGCGGACTCCTGGGTTAAAGTCCTGTTCGTTTGAACCATCCATCCCCCTCTTACACCACGTCACCAACCTCGTGTCCAGAAGGACCTACAGCATTATGATTTGAAGCGGCAGTGAGACGGGTTGCTGATGCTCTGATGGGTGAACATCTGGAGGGAGGACCAGTAGACTGTTAATGAACATGATGTCACAGTCACATATGGAGGGAATGTTCAGGTGTCCACAAACTTTTGGCAGAGAGAGTTGGCTCTCATGAAATCTTAGAAATAAAATTTAATGAAACACTTAATGAAACCTGTGTGTGTGTGTGTGTGTGTGTGTGTGTGTGTGTGTGTGTGTGTGTGTGTCTGTCTAGATGTGTGTGTGTCTGTGTGTGTGTGTGTGTGTGTGTGTGTGTGTGTGTGTGTGTCTGTCTAGATGTGTGTGTGTCTGTGTGTGTGTGTGTGTGTGTGTGTGTGTGTGTGTGTGTGTGTGGGTCATGATGCATTTGGTGCATTTTCAGCGTTCTGTTAAGAACCTCAATTAGCTTCTCAGCTGTTTTTTTTTAGGAAAACTTTTAACTTTCAGACCTACTGACACACTGACACACAGTGACATCATCAGAGTGACATCATCAGTGTGTCAGTGCCGCCCTGCTACACACACTGGTTTACTTATGACACTTATTGGGGACATTACACAGAGTTGCATTCATTTACTAGAGACTTGCTCCAACCATAACTACTGACACAAAAATCAGCTTTCTGTGTAACGAGGGACACGTCTTTTGTCCCCAGTTGGACAAACTAACCAGTTTAGCCTGATGTGTCCCCAGAAGGTAGCTTAAGTAAGACAGGAAGCTTTGTGAGGTTTGAAGTTTTCTATATGAACGAATGAATGAGCAAACAAATTACCAATCAAATGAAAGAACAAATGATCAATGAAACAAACAAACAAATGATCGATCAATCGTACATTTCTCCGTTCAAAAAAACTACTGAATGAACAAACGAGCATGAAAAAGAACGACTCAATGATCAACTGAGGGAAGAATCGATATCAATAGAACAAATTAAAGTACAATCATTGATCGGTCAATCAAACAAATAAACAAACGATCAATCAAACGGACAAAACTTAAGAACCAAACAATGAATCAGCGACTGTTAGATGATCACAGATCGGTCAAACAAACTGACAAACTAAGGAATAATTGATCAATCAGACGAAGGGCAATCAGGCAAACCAATGAACCAAGAGACTATTAAACAATAGTGTTACTGAACAAATAGTCTAATGAATGAACAAACTTCAGGCACTGAACAGACGTGAGATAGTAAAACAAAGGTTTTCTGAGACTTTCTGAGTAAGACATGTTAAAGAAAAAACTTTCAGAGGATTTAACTTCCTGCTGTGATGTCGACGTCTTTATATTCGACTCAATGAACTAAACCTGGAAATGTTCAGAGCGTCACAGTCGGCAGCAGCATTTATGGATGTATATATTTATAACAACAGAAGTGAAGATAGAAGCTGAAGATGAATTTCTGACAATATTTGGAGGAAATGAATCAAAGCATCAAAGCATGACGCGTGTAATGAGCTGCAAAGGTTTCAGCATGACTTCAAAATAAAAGCGCTTCACAACGATGAAAGAATAAACCAGATGGAAACAACGTCTGACTGCAGATTTCATGAAAGAGTCGTGACTTTTTCTGCAACATGACAAGCGGTTTTGTTAATGGAGGCACATGACATGAAGAAAACGAGGCGTGCTCGGGCACAGAGATGGAAAATATGAGTAGAAAAAAAAGGAGGACAGAAGTGGGATGAAGCGAGGAGGAAACAAGTGAATGGAAGATGGAAACATGGGAAGAAGAAAAGATGGAAATCGTATAAATCACTGCTGTCAGATGAAAATGCTGCATCTCTGAGAATACTGGTTTTCCAGAGTTTCTAAAGATCATTTTCATGTTGCCAACGGGTTCTTCATGAGGAAACTTCAACAATAAACTCCCTTAACTTTCTCTTTGAGTAAGAAATGCAACATTTTTTCCCAACAGCAGGAAAACACAGCATGGAAAACATGAATGACGTGAAAAACAAAACATGAATGAAGGCAAAAACATGAAGAAAATAAAACAGCATATACCAAAAGTGCTTCACTCTGTTCATATTTTATATTATCCACTGAGCCAAAGAAGATTGAAACGTCATATAATGTGAAATAGGATTAACTTGAACTTTAAACATTGAGAAATATATATTCAGTCATATATATTAGCTTTCTGCATCTCACAGTTGCAGTAAAATAATTCTAATAATGATTATTGGTTCATGATGTGCTTTAAATGAATAGAAATGCTCATTAAATTTCAATTAGAGCATTAAATGTCTCAATATCTTCAGATAATAATTATAATAGACTTTACTTTGCACACTAAACTCATTACATTTAATTATGAATAATTTATTCACATCTCCACTTCTCATCTTACTGAGGGACACAGAGGATTTTATTACTTCTGACAACTGGAAAACAAAACACTTCATTTGACTCAATGTCAAAGTATTTATTTATTTTTGTTGATTTGCTCTCACAGCTGTTTATTTTCTGGGAAATAATAATGTGAAACTATGATGGATTTCTGTGGTTGTCTGACTGAATGGTGATTAATGGTAGGCGGGTGTGTGTTTGTCTCTCTAATGTTTTCCGCTTTGTGTAACACCACGACCCACTCGCCTCTGCCCCCCCGCACACACACATACATGAGGACCTTCGTTCGCCGTGTTTCCGTCCAAATGTACCGCACATTTTAAGTACAAGTAATCCGGCGAAAGAGAGTGCAAATGAATGCTGGTGTCCATCCACTACCGCTGTGTGATTTATTAGGAGTCGGTTCAGGAGATGAGCAGAAGGTGGCGCTAAGTCTAGAGTCGGAAAACCAGAAGAAAGAAGAAGACAAGATGATGTACTCATCAGTCTCAGTGGAAGCTCAAACGATGAAAAACGATCCAGAAGAACAGGAGGTGAATTTTACATTTCTGTTAGTTTCATATATTAATGTGAGGAAGGTTCCATCACATCTGTGCACAGCGACAGTGGATGTATGAGGAGACTTATTCAGAAAAAGTGTTTCCATCCCCTATTAAAGTCGGGTATCTCTAACTGCCGGTCCGAGGGCCATTACCGGCCTCCCTCCCCCTTTCTTCATATAATATTAAAATAAAAACACAGTTCAGGTTTCAGGCCTTCTTATGATGTTTGGATGCAAACAACAAAGATGATATAAAATGTATAGAAACTGTTATTTGTTAGGTATGATATGAGTAATGGAAACATTTTCTAAATATGGCGCTTTGTTGTAGTTCTTTAAGTGTTGAAGTGTTCCTCCTGAGACATTAAATGACGACACCATCAGCGGCCCCGAACCAGTTTGAGTCTGAGGCCCCTGCATTAAGCGCATTACCTTGAGTGAGCGTTAACATTTTTGTGAAGTTTTTTATGAGATTTTAAAGTTTCCATCAGACGTTTCTAATGCAATAAGACAAAGAGCTCGACATCGCTGTACCTCTGAGTAAAACTCTTTATAACTCGCTGCACTAGCTAGCAAGCCCTTAATGTTTGCTACATTCACACTTAAGCTTAAGTTTTAGTTTGTGTGACGAGCAGATGTCAATGTGATCTCCACCTCTTCCAGGAATTATTGACTCTTTATCAGTTTCACAGCTGTGAGAGCAACTTTCATTTCCTGCTGTCAGTGAAACACATTAAATCTGCCCTGACGCTTCCTGGTCTGATCTGAAGGAGAGACCACGCGGAGGCCGAGCCGGGTTCCTACCGTGCCTGTGTAGAGTCATCCACAGCAGGACGACTGGGACAACATGACGGAGCCTCCACCTTCCTCCAACTCCTCCTCCTCCGCCGCCGCCTGTACAGGACTCCCTGCAGGAACAGAACAATATGAGCTTTTTGTCTTCACACCAGCCATCAACATACTCTTCATATTCAGACGAGTGTGTGATATAGCTTGTTTACGCTCACACCGACACACACAAGCACGCACACTCAAACCCTCAACGAGTCAGCCCTGAAGGTTTCATCATCATCATCATCATCATCATCATCTCTTTATTTTTGTGGAGTTGAATTAGCTGCCATAACCTTTATGTTGTATGCCAGGATAATCAACACAAAGACAACAAAGGATGTCATAATGTAACTGAACATTTGATCCTCCACACAACACCAACCAACCCCCAGATTCCCAGATGTGTGTCGCCCACTATGCACAGAATAAACAAGTGACCAGGGATCACACCCCCCCCCCCCAGAGAGCCAATGAGATTGCTCCATCAGGTGGCGATGATGTTGTAACGAGGTAACGGACTCTTTGAGCTGCTGATGAGACGAGTCGTGATGAGAATGGAAGATTTCTGTTCTTCACACTAAAATCATATCTTATCACATGTAAATGTTCATGATGTCCTGTTCTTAATCACTTTTTGTTATTAATGAACTGCTGCTCATTATTAACCTCATAACATGAAGAGTTTCTGTAAATTAATGTTTTTGTAAATGCATGCGTTTGCTGTCTCATCCCTGAGTTCAGGAGACATAATGTGGAACTCCACCAGAAGGAGAACTTCTTAAAGACAGAAATCAATAATAAATGTATAAACTGTATTTCCTTCAGTAACGTGTATACTTTTGGTTTCACAACAGTCTGATCATAGACACTCACACAGATGAGTTATGTCAGGTACGTAATGATTAGCGATTAACTTCTTTTATCATCGTTTCATGCTAAAACATTCAGAGTTGCAGCTTCTGCACTGTAAAGATTTTCTGCTTTGGTTTTTAAATCATTTGAATTTTAACTTAAAGCAGCAACAAGGAGCCTTCATTCTATGTTGATTCTGGCTCCCCCTGTGGACAAAAGCGGTAATGTTTCTACCGCCTTGTTTAATTAATTTCAAGGGGAATCCGACATTAAGAATAATTATATAGAAATATCCAATCTTCTCCCTCGTTATCTGTGTTTATGGAGCTCATTTAGAGACATCAGTATTAAATCGAGACTGTTTCATAACCAGTTAGACTTCTTTATATAGTAGGTTTAATATTTTTAAGGCTTCAGATTTTTGAAAATAAAATAAAAAATAAGGACATCAACATTTACACAACTTCAGTTCAGCTATAAATATTTCAAAGGTCTGACGAGGTCAGAGCAGCGCCTTCATGTTGTTATTACCCATCAGCTCTGTTTGGATCCTGCCAATTTATCACACACACACACACACACACACACACACACACACACACAATGAAGGGACTGACACTTGAGTGTGACACTGGCTGTCAGCCATCTGACGCCCGAGTTCATCTCTCATTCGCCTTGACAGAGGTCGTGGAGCTCTCGTCCACTCGCCAGAGATTAAAACAAAAGGTGGAAGGAGGTTCGTCATGTATAGTTGATGAGGGATCGGTCCCAAAGCTCATCAGAGAAACATGATCGAGATATTTCTGTCTTTCTTTTCTTCTTTCTGTCTCTGACATAGTTAAGTTCTGTACAGTTACACACATTTCTATCTGACTTATTAATCATATTCGTTGTACACTCATTTGAGTTCATTTTGAATGTTGCAGTGATGAGTTTTCAAGCTTTTCTACCCTTAAAAAAGCAAAAGATTGGTGGAAAAATTTCGAATATTTTATCTGTTTTGTTCAAAAATAAAATCAGCTTCCCATGAATAAGTTTCTGTATCAGCCTCTGACAGCCAATGTTGGTATGCCATCAGCCTGTACATGTTTATTGCATTTGGCAGATAAACCCAGCTCCACTCTCGTTGGTGTGGTGAAAAAATAACAAATCTCGATTTATCTCAACACGGCGTGTGCTGTTACTCAACCCAGCTGCTGTGCTGTTTTCGTCCTGGAACGAAAAAGACATGAAAACCACCCCATTTCCACAGAATGCCCAGAGGGGGCTTTTTAGAGGCTGACGCCCAAAAACATGCAGCGTTTGGCAGCTCAAGGTGCATGAAGGAAGTGTAAGTTGATGTGACGCTAGAGCTTATCTGACAAGTTGTCTTATCTGGTGAGGAGATAATGTGTCTGTCCCCATAACCTTTCTGTCCGTCTGTCATTAAATAACACGTGTCACAGGTTCTGCTTTCATTTCCATGCATTTTCCATCCACTTTTAGTTCCTGGATATACGTTTTGACACAGCTCAGGCAACACGCTGTCACCCCCAACTCTCCAAATACTGACACTAGATCAGCTGCTCTCTCTAGGTGCCCCTCTCGCATCATTCTTTACGCTGAAGTTTACGCTGTATATCCTGTAAATTCAACTCAAGTGGTAACATTCGTATAAAGAAGAAAGGTAATGTGCATTAAAGGTAGTCTTACTTTATTACACTCATATGCAGCATTTCTACTTTACTATTAACTTTATTTACCTTTCCTCAACAATAAATGAGTTACGTATACTCCAACAATTCAAGCATTAATAAAATCTTTGAGGAAACCGATAAAAAAGTTCAAATATATTAACTCAAAACAGTTTGAGTTGAATTAACTCATCATGTTACAGTGTGCATTAAAGGTAGTCTTACTTTACTCAGATAAATAACACATTTTGAATAAGTTTGGAGAAATGCAATATACAATATACAATACAATTAATTGAATTTTTTCTAAGTTACCTTAACAATAAACACTTGATTTGTCCAAGTGACTTGGACAAATCAAATAAAATCTTTTTTCAATGCATAAATTCAGCTCAAACAGGTTGAGTTGAAATAACTCACTCAGTTTATTTTAAAAGTTATTTTACGTAACTTAAGCACATGAATAAACCGTAACCTGCGTATGTTACCTCACAGAAATTCTATACTGTTGGTTTCACACGGGACAAACAGCAGAGCGACTCCTTGGCTCAGTGTGAGACACTATTATCATTCAGAAACTGTATCACAGATTTCTGCTGAACCGAATATCTCTGTAATCCATCTGCGTTTTTACTGATGAAACATCCTGGTGTTTATTTACTAAATGCAGACTAAATCAAGTGATTTCAAGCAGTGATTGAGGACAGACCGACAACGATAAGCTGCTTCTGATTACATTTCATACACTGTGTTTACTCTTTACACAAATGTAGTATTTCTGGAAAATGACCATAAATGACATCCAGAGGTGGCAAAAGTACACATATTCTTTACTAAAGTAGAAGTACAGATACTTGTGTAAAAGAAAGACTCCAGTAAAAGTATAAGTACTGATTCTTGACTCAAGTAAAAGTTTCTCTGAAGGACATTTCTACTGGCTGTTTCTGTGCAAAGCGAACTGAAAATTTAAAAAAGCAAAAAATTTAGCTGTGAAAGTAAAAAGTTGTCAAAAAAATAAACACTCAAATAAAAACCTGAAAAAACTACTTAAGTGCAGTAACTAAGTATTTGTGCTTTGTTACTTCCCACAAAATACAAAACTACAAAATGTATTTTATATTCATTTTATGATACTTATATGCACAACATCACAAAAAAGTATTGTTTTCCTCACTGTTGTAATGTACCCTTACTACTTATAGAGTACTGCTGCCTCTGCTGAGCATGGTCGTACCCGCCACTAAGGTCACGAGGTCTGGACCTCTGTATTTTTTCTGAGGGATACACAGCGTGTGACATTGGGACTGACGGAGTCGGACTGAGAACAAAATTTGTGCCAAAATGTGATCCAGACAAAGGAAGCAGCTGCAGACGTAAACTGGACAATACAAGCAGTTTTTGGCGGGCGGTCAAACAGTCTTTATAACCTTTAAAACTTTATGGTCTTTGTGAAACTTTAATGTTTCTTGTAACCAGATAATCACAATTGTGGCCAAAGATGTGTTTGAGTCAGAAAACAAATTCAGTGGATATAAACTGCAAACTCTGCTTTCTGTCTTGATTTTATTCGATTATTTCCAGCTCGACGTCTGACATTACGGACGGATCCACTTGTCGAGGTGAAGGGAGGTGACAAACAGTCGGTACCACTCCCTGCCTTGCAGTATAGGTAGCCTATTTACAATTTTGGGACTATGTAACCCTCAATCTTATGGGCTGTTTGAACAGAGTGGGCCATAGTTTGGGGCAGTCTGAAGGAGTGGACATAAATTAAAATGCACAACTTTTTAAGCCAAGTATTTTAGTACTTCGCTATTCAGCAATGAGTTTAAAAAGCAGAAGGGGGCTTCGGCTATATGATTCAACCACATTATGTGCATTAATAGTTAGAAGGCCACAGGTCAGAGGTCATATTATCCGGACAACATGAAAATAAGTGATTCTAAGCTGGAAAATGTCTCGATCAGTATACAATTTCCTCTGCTTCAACACAGATTTCCACGGAAACCACCAACTTTCAGACCCACAGTGAACCGAATCTAAATGATGTTTTCGGTATTTTCATTGGCCCATCTCGACTTTGGCTGAGTTGGCTTTAACATATTTAAGTGTCACTGCTGTCAACACACTGTAAAACACAGAGAACTGACAGCTGTGTGATGTCAAAGCTATAAAAGCAGCAATCAGAGTCAGCAGAGCGTGAACATAAACTCAGCTCCTCCTCAAGAATCACAGAGTTACAGCATCAAGTAGCAGGACACTCTACATTACACAAAATGGGGCCGAAACCATTTAAAAGAAGTTAATTAATGTATTTTTAAAAAATCCTTGACCTTCGTTTCCGTTAGTGGTTGATCACTGACAGGTCTGACTTTTATTATTGTAAACTGAAATTTGGCAATATTTTAAATAGGGAACACCAGTGTAGCTCTTGGATTGGCCGGTCGCTCCACCACTTTGGTTCAGATTGAAATATTTCAACTGTTATGTTGTCGTGAAATGTGCTACACACATTAATGACTAATGGCTCTGCCCAAAGTTCAAAAACC